ACCATGACCTCTAATATAATGTATTAAAACTTTATAAAGATATGTAGGTGAATAGGATTCCTAGCTGGCAGGCCCCTGACAGCAAGCTGGCCACCTGTCGATTCCGTGACGAATGTGGCTCCCTTCTCCCTACTGTCAGGGTCTGGTTTGAAGGACGGCCATGCCCCCTGTTGCGCCAGACCCAGAGTTCTACCACACCGTGGCCTCCACCTCAGCAACCCAGGACTGACTGCCACTGGGCCCTCCTGGGGCTCCGAGGGTGGGTTCTTCCCTCAGGCCTCACGGGAAACAGCTCTGGGAGGGTGCAGTCCTTGGCAAGGCAACCCAGGACTCAGTGTGTCCATGCTCTGAGGATGGGTTCCTGCCTCAAACCTCGCCTTCATGGGAAACAGCTTGGGGTGGGCGCAGTCCTTGGCAAGGCAACCCAGGACTCAGTGTGTCCACGCTCCGAGGGCAGGTTCCTACCTAAAACCTCACCCTCTAGGGAAACAGCTCGGGGAGGGTGCAGCCGTTGCCAAGACAACCCCTGCAGGACTGACTTCCTTCCGGTTGGTTGAGCCTCAGATGTGACTCATTACACCCAGGGTTTTTATATAAATAGATTTCCTTCTACTTTGTTGTTATACTTTTTAATAAAGTATAACATACATATAGAAAAGTATAAAACCCTAAGTGATGAATCCTATGCTTGATGAATTTTCACAAATTGAAAACACCCATGAAATCATCATCTAGATCAGTGGTTCTCAACCTTCCTAATGCCGCGACCCTTTACTACAGTTCCTCATGTTGTGGTGACCCCCAACTATAAAATTATTTTCATTGCTACTTCATAACTGTAATTTTGCTACTGTTATGAATCGTAATGTAAATATCTGATATGCAGGATGTATTTTCATTGTTACAAATTGAACATAATTAAAGCATAGTGATTAATCACAAAAACAATATGTAATTATATATGTGTTTTCCGATGGTCTTAGGCAACCCCTGTGAAAGGGTCGTTTGACCCCCAAAGGGGTCGCAACCCACAGGTTGAGAACCGCTGATCTAGAGCAAGAATTACAACCTGAGCAACATCCCAGAAACTGCTCGCTTGTCCTCTTGCAGTCAAAACTCTATCAAGATTATCCTTCTGAGGTCGTAAATTAGCTTTGCATGTTTTGTATTTTTATGTACTTTTTTATGTCTTTCTTCTTGGCCCAACATTATACATGTAAGATTTATCATTGTCATATCTATTTGTAGTTTATTCATTCTAGTTGCTGTACAGTGTAACATTGTGTGAATGTACTATTTATCCATTCTATAGGTCATGAATATTTGAGCAGTTTTCAGATTTGGCTGCTATGAACATTCTTATATGTTGCATTTGGTGAACACATATGCATTTCTCTTGTACATAGACAGAGACAGAGATAGAGATAGAGATGTAGAGATAGATGATGATAGAGATAGATAGATGATAGATAGATAGATAGATAGATAGTGCAAATGCTGAATCACAGATATGTTTATGTGCAGTTTAGTATATATTACCACTTTTACCAAAGTGTTATAGCAATTTACAACCCCATCAAAAGTAATCAGAGTTCCAATTGCTTCCCATCCTCACCAATACTTTTTCATTGTAAACATTCTTGTGAGTATATAATACCATTGCATTGTGATTTAAAATTGCATTTCTCTCATAAATAATGAGTTGACCACCTATTTCTATTACGTGATTTCAAATGCTTATCTCATTCCCATTTTAAATATACATTAAGTTTCCTTTTTTTGGTTTGATTGATATACCTAAAATGAGGAATAATAAATTTAATGTTTTTTCTCTTTTCCTTCTCCCATCCATTCACTACTTTCTTAGTATAACTGATGATGTTTATATTTCACTCTGGCCAGTGTGGCTCAGTTGATTGGCGCGTCACCCGGTACTGCAAAGGGTCCCATGTTTAATTCCCTATCAGGGCACATACCTAGGTTGTGGGTTTGATCCTATCCCCTCTCAGGGTGCATATGGGAGGCAACTAAACAATGTTCCTCTCTCTCACCCTTCCTTTTTCTCTCAAATCAATAAAAACATATCTTCAGGTGAGGATTTTTTAAAAAGTCTATAAAAGTTTATAATTCAATTTTTTTATTTTTCAGCCTTAAATTATATGCATTGACTCCTAGGGAATATAGATAAATTAATCTATATTCTGCCTCAGAATTTGTATCCCTTTCCCCCTCCTAATTTTTGGTAGTTATATTGTTTTTAGAGTGTATATTATTTAATTCTTATCTATAACTCTAGTCCTCATATTCTCACTTTCAGTTCTAGAGGTGAATATATTAAATGTTTTTTGCCAGTCCATTTGTAATCATTTCCTTAGTTATATTTTGGATGATTATAATTTATCCTCTGGAAATTTTCTTAACGTATTTTGACAGGCATAGCATTTCTCAGATTATTGAATGATAAACCATCTTCTGCTTTTAAGCTTAAAAGATAACATGATTGCATTTATTTTTTTAAAATATATTTTTATTGATTTCAGAGAGGAAGGGAGAGGGAGAGAGAGATAGAAACATCGATGATCAGAGATGCCTCCTGCATGCTCCTGCATGCCCCACACTGGGGATCAAGCCCACAACCTGAGCATGTGCCCCAACCGGAAATCAAACCAGGAATTCCTAGTTCATAGGTCAACACTCAACCACTGAGCCACACTGGCTGGGCAGCATGATTGCATTTAAAATCTTTGGTTTACATGCAGTCTTTCTATGTTATCTTGAAAATGCCACCAAGCCCAGCCAGAATGTCTCAGTGGTTGAGCATCGACCTATGAACCAGGAGGTCACAGTTTGATTCCTGGTTGGAGCACATGCCCCAGTTGTGGGCTCAATCCCCAGTGTGGGACATGGAGGCAATAGCTGATCAATGATCCTCTCTGATCATTGATGTTTCTATCTCTCTCTCCCTCTCCCTTCTTCTTTGAAATCAATAAAAATATATTTTAAAAAAAAGAAAAGAAAATTCCACCTAATAATTTTTTGTATTGAATATTGACAACCACAAATCACTTTCCCCTGGGCCCTCAGAGACACACTGCTCCCTAAAAATATGATGGCTATGTGAATTCTGCTCTCAACCTGGTTTCAAGAAGGCTTCTACCACCAGCTCTATTCATCCCAATTTCTTCACTCAAGGCTGAGAATGAAGGATGCAGTTATTTGTACTTTGGATTGAGTCTCCCACCATTAGGATAATATTTTTGCTGGAACATTCTGAGACCTACCACCACTGGGCTCTTTCGAAATTCAATCTGCTTCTCCACTTGAGTTTCTTGCCTGAGGCTTCTGCCAAACTCAGTTGATTTGGAAGACTTTACATGTATTTTGGAGTATGCAGATTAAATATGTCTTATAGTTTCACTGAAAATGGAATACTCCGAGTTTCTTTTATTCTCCTATTGCTTTTGTATTATATTCAGGTGTAAAAGAGCAAGTCATGGGCTTTCATGTTCACACTGAAAAACCCAGAATTCGATTTTGAAGAAAACTGAAGGTAAAGTTCTAAAATCAAAGCAAGAGAAAAAAAGAATTGTTTGTATATATGTATGTATGCTAATTTTAGAGACAGAGGGAGGGAAAAGGAGAGAGGAACATTGATTGGTTGCCTTCTGTACATGCCCCAACTGGGGACTTGCAACTCAGGTATGTACCTTGACCAAGAACCAAACTGGCCACCTTATGGTGCATGGGACAATGCTCAACCAACTGAGCCATTCCAGCAGGGCAAAAAGAATCTTAAGCTCCATCTTTCTGACAACATATTAGGAAACCTAGCAATGTGTTCTATGGAAAGATGAGATTAATATTTTTAATAAAAAGTTAATATGTTTTTGGTGTCCTTTAAGGTAGCTTTTGTGAAAAGATTATTACAAGGATCACCTTTGCTTTCAAATCCAGTGCTTACTTTATTAAAGTTATAAATTCAAAAGAGAGTTTTTTCTTAGACAATTAAATTTATAAATGTTTTAGGCTAATTATAAATGTATAAATTTAAACAATTACTTTTTGATTCTTTAAGCACTTAATATTGTAATCATTTTAACTGTCTTTGTACATTCAAAATATTTCATTTTATTTTTAAGTATTTCAATTGTCTACTGAAAACAAGCTCTCCCAAACACTTCTTTAATTTATAAACCCAATATTATAAATTGTTATGTATTTGGAATGTGAATCCTAATTAAATTAAATATACTAAGGAATTGCTCAATTACACATTTTAAATTGTAATCTCAAGGCTGCTAAGCCAAATTGCTCTCTACAATGCCAAGTAAGTTATTAAAGCACTGTGTATGTTACCTACTAAAGTGTTTTTTTAACAGAGAATAAAAAATATATAATCTTTTACTAACTAAAATAAATGTACTAACAATCATGTTGAAGTAGAAATAGAAAAAATAAAATTTTTGCTAATAGAGGTACTTGAAACCCTATTTTAATACATTGCAGAGACCAGCAGTTCCAGTTTCTGTCTGATTAGAAGCTGATCAACCATAAGAATTCAGCTGATGCAGATAAATTCAATACAGTGATGCCAAGTTCCTTATTGAAACCATCTAGTACACTGCCTGCACATCTCTAGGTTCCCTCTTTTTTTTTCTTTTCTTTTTTTTTTTTATAAAAGTCACTGGCTTGACAAGAGATGTTAAGATCATTTTTGGAGAGGAGTCTGCCATCTTCTCAATTTGCCAGCACCTGAATAAACCTCTTTCCTTTTAACCAGCACCTCTCTTATGCGTATTGGCTTTCATCATGGCAGGCAGCCCAACCTGTGTTTAGTAACAGCTTGTTTGCCTGTGTTCATCAAAGCCCAATAAAACATGAACAGGAATTTGCAGCAAAGAAAGTAGAGGTTTATTTAAGCAATTGGCACTAAGCCTGGAGATACAGGTGAGTTAGTGGTGTAAGACCTGGCTCCCCAATCACCTGTAGGAGATAGACTGTATTGGGGGAAAACCATTAGTCATGGTGACTAAGGGAGTTGAGATCATGTGCTCTACTGATTGTTTGGGACTAAGGTAGGGAGTAGTTGTTTCAGGTCCTGATGTCATCCATGGCATCATTCTGTCTGATTTCATGAGGGTGTGGTTGGTAGGGTAAGTCTGTTCTCATGGGCCTAGGGCTGAATCACAAATGAGGTTAAGATGTTATCTTTAGTTTGATGGAATCTCTGTTCCCTTAATCAACAGACCTAAGGCCTTTTCTTAAGACAGTTTGATGCTGACCAGAACCTGATGGCCTGTGGACTTAATGACTAAGGGAGTGGATATTCAGTTAGTGCAAAGGTGGAGAGATCTGGTTAAAAGAAGGCAAGTGAGTCATGGTGCTATTAGACTGGACAAAGCTACACTGAATTAAGGAGAAAATTATATTAAACAAATGAAGTTCCTGTGTGATTATACTTATCTATTATAATAAAAGCATAATATGCTAATTAGACTGGACAGCCGAACGACCTTCCGGACATCATTCCAGATGAAGCTGGGGTGGTGGGGCAGAGGCAGAGGTGGTTAGGGGCGATGAGGCAGGCAGGCAGAGTGTTTAGAGGGGATCAGGCAGGCAGGCAGGGTGGTTAGGAGCCAGCAGTCCCAGATTGCGAGAGGGGTCCTGGATTGCAAGAGGGTGCAGGCTGGGTTGAGGGATCCCCCTCCCATGCACAAAATTCGTGCACTGGGCTTCTAGTATATATATAATTTTCAAACTTAAAATGATCAATTGTATCAGTTCAATTTAATTCATCTTCACTGTATTTAATTCTAAATCTTTTTTAAAAATAGGAACAAACTATTTTTAAAATTTTATTTTTATTTTTTTAATCCTCACACAAGGATATTTTTCCATTGGTTTTCAGAGTGGACGGGAAGGAAGATGGTGGGAGGGGAGGGGGGAGAGAGAGAGAGAGAGAGAGAAACACATGCCCTGGGGATTCAGTCTGCAAGCGAGGTATGTACCCATGACTGGAAATTGAACCTACGACCCTTTGGACTGCAGGCCAAGTGAACCCAGCCAAGGGTAATTCTAAATCCTCATTGGTTATGCACTAAGGAGATACTCTTGGTGTTATGTTGTAGCTGGCTGAGACTGTAGATATCAACCAGATATTTAATAGAAACATGAGATGACACAATTAGGGAAAGTTAGCTATGGACCAGATTTTAAGTTACAGTAAGTAGTTATTAATTTTTAGGTGTAAGTGTTTTTGTGGTTAAGTAGCAAATTTCCTCTTTTTGAGATACCTAATGAAATACCTAGGGTGAGTAAGTATTATGCCTCTTACTATAAAACACATTTTAAAATTAAGAAAATATGGCAAGAAATGAACAATTATTAAATCTATAATGAACAAATGAATGTTTATTATAGATGATAATATATTTTTCAAGTGTCTAGCACTCATATATTTTGCAGAACTAAACCATTTTAGAAAACCAAAAAAATTCTTTAATTTGGGCTAAATTTACTAACAGCTTAGGTGGAAAAAAAATCCTAAAATGCACATTTTAAAATATTATAGACATTTCACTCTTAGTTTCTTTTCCTTTTAACTCACCAAAACAAGGAATCTGTAAGTTAGTAACAGATGTGTAAGTTACTAGTCATTGATAACTCTTAAAAAGTTTTTTTTTATATACTTAATAATAACTGAGTAAAATAAAGCCTTTATACGTAGATAACAAATCTTTTTGCTAGTCAAGTGATTTACAATTATTTGCTTAATAAAATTGGGGGATTTAATTGAGTTGCCAGCTGATAATCCTTCAAAAACAATTTTTAACAAAGATAACTATCAAAAATAACTCATAAAGCATCCAAAAAATTGATTGGCATTGCTATAACAAAACTCCTTCCATTTTCATTTACATACTTATGTAATCATTTTTTTTAAATGCCTATTTTTATAAAGATGAAAAATAGGACTAGGATTGATGCTGGAATCCTCACTCATTTTAGCAATAAGTAGAAGTTTAGACACAGATAAATGAAGCAATTGGGGAAGAAGCATCATTCATCTTATTAAGAGATGCCTTCCCAACTTTTTATATTTGATAATTATTCATCAAAATTTAAAATATTTATGCTGCTTTAATTGTGAATTTATAGTTGCTGTACTGATAACCCAATTAGAGAATTTTTAATAGTAAGAACCAAACTCAGAAATTTTTGAAAATAACATTTATATTTATATGTGTATACATATATATATATATACAAATGTTCCTCAACTTACACTGGTGCTATATCTGATAAACTCATAAGTTGAAAATATCATAAGTCAAAGAGGCACCTACATTTTTTGAATATCAATTCACTCATTTCTCAGTCTTCACTCCTTTTATTTTCCAACTGTATGGAGAAAAAAGTATTGTTAGAAGAAAGCAAGAACTAGACATGTTTATCATTCTTAATTCAGGAGGAGCTTTTTTAAAAAATATATTTTATTGATTTTTTACAGAGAGGAAGGGAGAGGGATAGAGAGTCAGAAACATCGATCAGCTGCCTCCTGCACACCCCCCACTGGGGATGTGCCTGCAACTAAGGTACATGCCCTTGACTGGAATCGAACCCGGGACCTTTCAGTCCGCAGGCTGACACTCTATCCACTGAGCCAAACCAGTTAGGGCAGGGGAAGCTTTTTTATTTTTTCATGTTAATCAGTAAGGCCTGGTTTCTGATGCTTTGTTTCAAGTAACTTTAGAGAGAAGTTTTCCTGACAACTCCTACCAGTAAGATATTGACAGGCCACTCCTAACTATTTCATATTAGGATGAATATGGTGT